TATGCTTGTGTGTATCGTATAGTTTGAATGGAATTCATTTAGTACGATGTGGGAATTTTTTTTCATATTTTCAATTGATCAAGACCTTTGGTTTCATACACTAGCAACATCAATAAATAGTAATCACATCAATATAAGTAAGAACATGAGAGAAAAAACTTATAACACATAACAATACATAAAAAATAAACATGAACAATTGTAATAAGAAACACAAAACATACACAAGAACAAGATTGGACCTATTATTTTATGCACTTAAGTCAATTATTCCTAGTTTTCTTGTGAGTGTGCTAAACTTATCAAAGTGAAGTGGTTTTGTAAAGATATATTCCAGTTAGTTTTCAAAATATATGAATTGAATATCAATGTCCCCTTTTGTCACATAATCTCTAAAGAAGTAATGCATAACATCAGTGTACTTTGTGCATGAGTGCTGACATGGGTTTTTACTTAGTGAAGCATATAACACTCATATTATCACACATTATGGAGATTACATCCATATGCAAGCCAAAATCAAGAAAGTATTGCTTTAGCTATAAGATTTAGGCAACATAACTTCCAACAGTTATATATTCTGCCTCAATAATGGTTAGAGCTATAGAGTTTTACTTTTTACTGTAGTAGGAAATTAAAAATTGTCTTATAAACTAACACATTCCTTAAATGCTTTTTTATATTTTGTAGCACATAAAATTTGAGTTTGAGTATCCAACTAAATTAAATGATATATTACTCCTAAGATACCAGATGCCTAAATTAGGTGTCCGTATAAGTTAATGAAGAATTCTTTTTTTTTTTCAATAAGGTGTGACTCTTTAGGTTCTACTTGAAATATATCGCACAAATAAATGTTAAACATGGTATACAATCTATTAATAGTCTTGTAAAATAATGATCCTATTATTTCTCTATTTTTCTTTTGGTCTACATGTTTTCCGTTAGGATCTTTATCTAATTATATACTCTCAAATTCATGGGGGGATTTATGTTCTTGTAAACTTAAAAAAAAAAAATCTTTGATAAGCTCTCCAATGTACATTGTTTGACTAAGAAAAATTCTAAGACTTCTTTATTTCACATTAAATCCAAAGAAGTAGGTTAACTCGCCCATCACACTCATTTAGAATTCATCACTCATAATGGATGAGAATTCTTCATAATTTTTTTTTTCATTTGTTGATACAAATAAAATATATTTCATATAGATCTGGACTATCAAGATATAAAATTCTAACTTTTCAATGGATAATATAGTGTCTACAATTCCTTTGACAAATGACCTCACTAATAACAATGTGCTAAGCTTATCACATCAGGCTCTATGTGTAGGGCTGCAAACGAACCGAGCCGAGTCGAATATGTGAGGTGCTAAGCTTATCACATCAGGCTCTATGTGCTTATTTTAGTCCATTGAGTGCCTTCTTAAGTTTGTAAACATGATTTAGTAATGATGCACTCTCAAATCTAAGTGGTTGCTCTACGTACACATCTTCGTTTATCGCTCTATTTAAAAGCACTTTTACACCCATTTGGTATAATTTGAAGCCTCTAAATCATGCAAAAGCTAGTATTTCTCAAATGGATTCTAGCTTAGCCACTAGTTTAAATGTTTCTTTAAAATTAATTCTCTCTACTTAATTATATCCTTTTATCACTAATCTTGCCTTAGACCTAACTACACATGCATTGGGAGTCTTAAGGGTAGGTTTTTTAATATGTCAGCAGATGAGTCATAAGGGTCCATTTCTGATGGGAGATATAAGGGCTTGAGGAAAATCTATTATTTTTTATTCTAATATATGAAGTGTTTATTTATTTAATTTTAGTACATAGTTTGCCTTACTGCAGCTATAGTCTACTTTATTTCAATTACCTACAATTACTATTATCCCTAGTATGAAAAATTTCAGATGTACTATTTTTAAATTCAGTTAAGTGCATAATAAGAAAAATATTTGGAACCTTCAATTGGTGGCTTGACCTGTTGAGCTGTGTTGGTTCACACCTACTATGCTTTTTATCCAGGCTGGGAAAAGGGGAAAAGGCCCATTAAGTAGTTGAGTATACATAATCTAATATGTCTATGTTTGTATAATTATTATTTTGATTTTTTATAGTCATAGCTAGTTATTTTATTATCTATTCTAGTTTGGTTTATAGTTATGCACTGCATTATAATTATTATATATACATTTTGATGATGAATGAAAAGAATTGAAACTTGTGGTTGAGTTATTATCTATTTACTGAAAGTTATTAAAAGCTCTACTATCTATATGTTTTACTAACAGAAATCTAAAGAAATTTGAACTTTTCCCCTAAACTTAGATCTAGGGTCCTGCCTATCACAATTCAATACAATATAACATGCCATTCTATGGGGCTTATTAGGTTGGGTTATGAAAGACCCTTTTTGGTATCAGAGTAGTGCTTTTGGGGACTTGATAATAAAATAGAGCTATATGAAAGGATCTATAGTCAAGTGAGATAATTTTGGGTGGTATCTGAACATTTATTTCTTCTTGTTATTATGTGCATGTCTATTCAGCCTTGTATCATATATAATTATATGACAAACCTGGAGATTCCATGAGAGGTGGCCAATCAATGTAAATTTATGGAAGTGGCAATATGGCTACTTTCAATGATTATGTTTGTGGGCCACATGTATACCAGAGTTATTGTAATCACCCAAACTCTAAACTAATTAAAGATAAAAATTAAAAAATAAAAAATAAAAGGTTTTCCCTAATTTTAAAAGGGATAAGAGGATGAACTTAACCGAAAATAAAAATCTACCTTACAAATTTAAATCCTAACTACTAATATTTGTTATCATAAAAAATTAGGGAGATTGTTGCAATCCTGGAGTCCGATCTTATATTTTGATGATTACAAACACTTTTATATGTTTATTTGCTTATTCCTGCATTGCATATTGGATATTTATTATGTGTGCTACTAATCATTTCACGTACAACATACACCAAGCAAAGAACTGAAGAATTAGCTAAAGATAATGTAGTGTCAATGCATAAGTTAGTTTGTATTTTTTATTTTTATTGAGTACATTTTTATATTAGTTATATGTTGACTTAGATAGTGCACACACACAAGGGAGTAAAATTGAATATTTAAAATTTTCTTATGATTGTATTATATGGTCATTTTAAACAAAAATTTATTCAAATATTTAACTAAAATGAGAAATTAATTTGTAACTAATCATATTGTATGACCACCATATCGTATAGGATGATCATCTATTTTGAGAAAACCCATCGTTGAATCCTTAGTTACTTAAACTAGATAAATTTGAACTGATTATACTGTACGATAATTAATTAAAATTGCCTAATTTAATCCCAAGAATTAATGAATCGAATCAGATCTAATATTCATTAATGATCATACTATACGACCATTGATCGTACTAGACGATCAACCAAGAACTGTTCTGGATGAACTTGGATTGTTCTGGATGATATATTATTCTTTTTTATTTTTTTATTTATTATTTATTATTATTTATTATTATTATTATTATTATTATTTTATAGAACGATCTATTATTTGATTCAACTAATTGTACTATATGATCAGAAGGCTTAACATTGAAAATTAGGATTTTTGGAGAGCCCGCTTTAGAAACTCTTAATACAATATGAGGGAAAGCATTTTGAGAGTTTCAGAGATGTCATTCTTCTGTGAGAGAGCTTGGAGATTGTCTATAACACAAATGAGAGAGATGAGGTGAGGTTGAGAGAGAGAGAGAGAGAGGACGAGTGCCTTGAGGGAAATTAATGGGTGTGAGAGGGGCTTCGGCTAGCCTGCACCTTGATTCCTATGGTTGTGTTTGTATGGAGCCTTGGAGAAGAGCTTTAAGAATGAGTCTTTGGAGCGAAAGACTCTTGCTAGCCGAGGTGGCTAAGGATTGACATCTCCGTAGGGCTTGGAAGTGAAAGGAGGGATCGACATCTCCATTCGGCTTAAAAGTGAAAAGGGGGATCGACACCTCCATTTGGCTTGGAAGCAAAAGGAGTGATCGACATCTTCACCTGGCTGAGGAGGCGAAAGGAGGGATGACATCTCCATTGGGCCGAGGAGGCGAGATAAGAGAGATTTTTTGTGGTTTGAAAAGTTTGTAAAGATCATTCTCTGTCTATGGTAAAGAAAAATGGTTTCTTTGCCTAAGTGTGTGCTGCAGGAGAGACATGTTTAGTGCAATATTCAAAGAGGTGGACATTTGAGAAGTAGACATAATCCTACTCACCTGAATTATTATATCTCTGGCTTGCATATTCTTACTTTTCTTGTGAATTTATTTTACTATAATATGATTTTATTTTGATTATCTTTGTGAAATAGATTTTTGATAATTTATCTTTAGTTGAATTTTTGATTTGAAAATCATAAAAGGAAAAAAGTATTTTCTAAAATTTTATAAACAACAAATCTATTTGCTTTAATTTTTTATTTTGAACTGCTTAATTTTTTAAACTCTTCGGCATACCAAGTTTTGTTTTAAGCAAAAAATTTTAAAATAGCCAATTCATCTCCTCTTGATGTGCCATAAGCACTTTCCTAAACTACTCCTAAATATTATTGTCAAACAATATTATAAAATTTATGAAGATTTAACATACTTATCAAATATTTTTTTTAAAATTAACACGCTCTAAATATAGTAACTTCAAGTTTGAAAAATTAACGGAATCCAGATTAAATTAAACCCAAACTTCATCAAAATTGTCTCTAGATTTTGCCAAAAAAAAAAAAAAAAAAAAAAAGATTTTGCCAAAAAAAAAAAAAAAAAAAAAAAACTCTAAATATCTCTGAAAAATTATGAAAGCATAGCTAGGCCGGACTGGCTCTTCAGCCACCTTCGAGATACCGGCGGTTTCTCTTCTTTGAACCCTCAAGGGCAAATAAGGCGGAAGGGTTAAACTTTAAAGCGACAAAGCAGAGAAAAAGCTGCTTCCTGTGCATTTTGCACCACCGGAGCTACAAGCGCCACATTGTTCGGCAACAGCAGTTCTCTCTTTTAATCTGTTCTTTGGATTCCATTCTTCTTCTTCATTCCAATGTACCAGAACCCAGCATCGGAAGCTTAGATATCTCCTCTAATGTCCCTTTACCAACTTCATTTCCTTTCTCCAAGCGCCTCCTTCAACTTCCCTTGCTCTTCCAAACCTAAAAAATGGAATCTGAAACGGAATTTCCATAAAAACCCAGTTCATGGAGTTGTAATTTCCGCTTCCTCGGCGGAGAAACCCAGGCATCCTCAGTAACCCACCTTAAAATGATAAAAAATTGTCATTTAGAGTTAGTGCGATTCTATTTTTCTAATGCTTAAGTTCTTTTGTTTCCTCAGTAGAAAGAAGAAGGGAAGACCATCTAGGGCTTTGATGAGTGATGAGGATCTCTGCAAGCAGCTCCGGGAGGTTATGTCTGTGGCGGGTCTTCCAGCGGATCGAGTTCCGCTAATGAAAGAGCTGTGCGAGCATGGAAGGTGAGCGGTGCTTCTCCTTCTTTCCGATCTTTTGGGCTAATTTTTGAGAAACTTTCGTTCCTAGGATTCTAGATTAAGGACGCAAACTTTTTCTTACACATTGGCAGCAAAGATACGATTTTGTGGTGCTAATTTTGAAAGAAATAGAAAAAGTTTTTGAGTCAAGGACGAATTTCGGAGATATAGGAACGAAAGTAGTTGGAGAAATCAAAGAACTGCAAGGACAAAGAAGAAAGCTTAGTTTCTTTCTTCATAAAATATGTTTGAATATGTGAAAAGATTCTAAAAGATTAGGAGCTAGTCCTTATCAAGTGTGCTATGTGAGGTGTTAATTTTGTTTTGTAGGACTTCAAGTTATGTTAGTTTTGGTTTATCCATTTTATTTCTTAGTCCTTTCGCTTTGATTCTCTATGCAACTTTAGTTGCATATATTTTGGCTCTCACTACATGTCCAAAACATCCAAGTCTAATGTTTAGTAGATGCTGCTATAATTACCTCTCTAAAATTATTGTATTTAACTTATCATTTATAGTTTCAATACCAATACACATTTGTCTTATCATTCTCATTTTATTTTCACACTCAACTATCAAGTGACTTTTTAGTTGGTCCATTCTACGAAATTTGTGGCTTTATACAATTTACTTTTAAGTATAAGATATTCTCTTGTTGCATAGTATTTTTGAGGTACCAATCTTTCATAAATTTCTCCGGTTTTAACTCTAATGAATTATTATTTAAATTATATATCATGTACTTAATCTAGAATATATTTAATCTTAGATTCATGTTTTCTAAAAGTTCTCAATATTTTTTCAGCCTTTTAAAAGGATAAATTGAGATATCAATATCTTTTATTTAGCCCTTCCTTAGTTGGCTCCATGTTGGTACTATGTAGCTTTGGATTTTAAGTCGTCCATTATTATTTATGCTTATGCCAATGTTTAAAAATGCACAATTAGGTATCAGACATTTTTCGTTTGTGAGGCAAAGCGTAAGCCTCAAGGCGTGAGGCTTACAATAAAAAAAAAATTGTGTAAAGTAAAAAAGAAGGTTAAAAGTAACTTTTTTTTCATATAATAATCTAATAATATGTTAAAGGATGACATATTAACTTTTTATTGAAATATAAAGTAATATATTGACATGCATATGAACAAAAAAGAAGAAGAAGTATAAGCCGTAAAGTGACAAGTGATAAATTGCATTAAATTGAATTAAAATCAAACATGATAATAGCGAAGGCGCAAAACATCATAAATATAGAAATTGAATAAAAGTATCATGTAACATCAAGTCATCAAGTTCAACTCTAAATTCTTTCTTTTCCAGTTCCCTATTCATCCACATTTTATTTCTTAAAAACATAATAGTATGACAACTCAAATGTCATCTGCGTTGTCATCACTGAGGTGGTCTTTGTTTGATTCGTTATTGTAACGAATTGTTATCTCCCTTACCTCATCACCTATAGAGTCAATACCTCACAATCTGCTTCTTCTATTTCAATAATCTTTCTTTTCTTTAAATGTTTCTCATCAACATAAGATGAGAGTAATACTCCAAAATAAATAAAATTTAACAAAATAATTTTTTTTTATATATATTTTCTTTTTAGTTATATCGCTCCCGTAGTATGAGCCAACATCAACACTCTCATCTACTTATGTGCTAGTTGCTTCGATATTACTGACTTATTCATGTTTTGATCTCCTTCACGGCATTAGGCACTTTAACACAAGGTGCGGCATTTTTGTGTGATCCATACAGATGCTCCTTCATCCAAGTGATGCCAACCTTCACTTTCTTCTCACAATAATTTCATTTCAAATACACATTCCATACTTATCAATGGTGCAAAATGGCATGCGCCATGACGCACGATGCGGAGCAATTACGATGCCATCTTTATGGAATGGCACAATGGATCAAAATGAAACACTATTTGCGCCATGTGCGCGCAATGGCGCATGACATGCACAATTTTATTTAGTGACTTTTAAAATATAATTCTAAATATTTTTGATACTTATATGTTTTAAAATTTTAAAGTAATGTAATAATGAATTTTAGTTAGGTTTTTATTAGAATTTATTTAAGTTTTTGTAGCCTGAACCCTGAAAAATGACGAGAGTTCATGTTCTGTTGCTTGAGATTCTGCCTTCATTCGTCCGTCTGATTCTTTCGTGCACGTGATTCTGTCGCAGGCTTCTTCGTCTGTTTGATTACGCACCCTCTCCTTTGTTCGTCTGCTTATGACATTACGCCGCCATCTCCTTCCGTCTACTTAGTCGTTTCCTTCGACACCATTTTTGTCTGATTCCTCCGTAGTAAGACTCAAGACTCACAGCATCTTCGTCGTCTCCTTCAACGAAGGTGTTAGATAGGAAGTCACGAAGGAGGCTCGCTGTAAGGTAATGATCTCTGATACACCTTCTTCCTCCTTTCATCATTTCTTCTTATGTTTGCTTCAGCTGATGTAACAAGAACTCTCCTCATCATTGCTAGTTCATGAAGAGGGCGACCATTAGTAAATTACTGTGCCTTCTCTTATTTCTGTCGAAAGGTAGCAAGCTATCTCTCTTACAAACAGTAGATTTAACTTACAAGTTTGAAAATCAGGTAGTCTAATTGTTTCTCATTAGATTTAACTTACAGGCTATTTACTCTGCTCCAAATGATCAAAGTTTAATTGTTTCTCATTTCTTCATGTTATACTTGCTTTAACTTACAAGTTTGTAAATTAATCGACCTTGCATTGAAATAATGAGACATTCCAATGTGAGATGGACTTGTATTAGTTTTCAAAATTTGTCATTTATATGTTTAACTTTACATTGATTTAAGTATGTAAGATAGACTTTGAATTTACTTGCTTATAGGGGATAGAAAATGTCAGATTCAGTTCAATTTTTTAAAAAAGATTTAGCATGAAAATATGCAAAATTAGCTAATTAATCCAATAACAATAAAGTGACATGTATTTTTTATGGCAAGATAATAAAATGAGGAATTACATGCCACAAACAACACCTTGTTAGAGGTTTTAGAAATGCTAGAGCTTGCTCTAATTTCCGCAAGCATGTCAAGGCTGAAATACATGGCTCCATATTGAGAAAAAAGATTTAAAATGATAGATTAATGACACATCAAATGTCATCCATATTCAAAATGGCGAGCACGGTACCGTGCGCTATCCACCATGGCTCCAAAGGGAACTTTTTTCCGTGGTGCGCCATTCGCTGTTGACAAGTATGTTACATATGACTTGTTGTCGCCTCTCACATCAACTTGACTGTTATATTTTCACTTTGGGTTCTTCCTTTAACCTTATGTGGTTTTGTTCTTGCTTCTGACCATCCTCTACGAAACTGAAAAAAACCTACAATAACAAGGAGATAATAAAAATAATGAAACTCAAAAAAGTAAATTCATGATTTGAAGTTTGACATTTAGAAAACAAATCAGATTTTGCTATATAATTTAGACTTAGAAAATTCATGCATGCATGCTTTGGGGATCATCACACATAACAATGAATTTGATTCCTTTGCAACATATATGCATGTTTCATTTCAATTTCTATTTGGAGAATAAGTATCAGTTTATATTCATCTATTCATTTGAATCAAGGTTTTTATGATTGGGTTTTGAGAAATTTTTTGATTAGATTAGCGGTTTACATTTTTTATCAAAGCATAGGCTAATAATTTTATTTGATTTTCAAGGATTTTATTTTTGGTAATTGAAATTTTAAGGGTGATTGAATCAACTTAGAATTGATTTTGAATAGAAGCCAAAGGAAGCAAAGGAGTACTTGATTCTGAGAAGCTTATGTGCTTAATATTATTTTATGATGGGGATTATATTTTGAGATTAAAATTATGCTGAAGAATTTTATTTAGAAAATTAGGACTCATCTTCCAAGAACACAAGATTAAGGAAATGCTCAAGAAGGTGAGGACTTATGACATAACTAAAAAAAATATTAGTCTTAGACCCTAGATGTAAGGTAATAACCATCGTAGGCAGTAACGTGAACCTAAATTTATTGAAAAGCATTGTACTTACGAACTTGAAATTGTGAGGGATACCTCTCTACAGCGAGGAAATTTAATTAGAACAGGATATATTGATCAATGTGTTTCATTAAACTTCAAGTTTTATTTATTCATCTTTTCTATTCTGAAATTCCTGCAGAAAAGACCTTGCAAATATTGTGAGACGGAGAGGATACAAGGTTGTGAGGCTGCTTCTCAGTACTTCCAATCTTAGTGATAACCATAATGATAATTCTTCTGTTGAAGATCAGGAACGCAGGGATCCTCAGGGTGATGAAGCTTCAGGTCCCCACTTTTATTTGTGCTGTGTTTTATGTCACCATTCCGTAATTGTTTCTGATGCTATTCATGGTAGTTTTTGGCTTCTGTAGAATTTGAAGGGACACATTTAGGCTCAGCTGAAAGCATTTCTTTATTAACAATGTCTCCTGAAGATTACAATGCAGAAACAAATGGGACAAAGAAAAATAATATGCCGGCTCAAATTGGTGAATCTTCTAGATCTTCTATTGGTCCCATGAATTTAGTTGCAGCATATTATTATCAGAAGAGGAAATTGGATGTTAACATTCAGTTTCTTTCTCTCTGTTTTAATTTCCCTTTTGCTTCTTCTCAGTAACTTATTTTACCTGCACGCTTGTTCTAAAATGATTATCATCTAGATGATGGAAGTTTGGTTCTTTGTCGTTTTCCCTTTTGCTCAGAGCATAGCAATAGAAACCAGTCATGTAAGAGAGAATGCTTTTGGTATAGAGGCTGCTTCTTCCTTCACATAGTGAGCGTTGCTTTTAAATAATAATCATCATATATATCATGACAATTGCAAAAACCAAACCAAAATTACTAGAGCCTCGTGAGTTTGTCAAAGCTTGAATAACTTGTTGCAAATAAGTTTTTTCTTTTTACTTCACTTTATTTATGCCTTTTTTTTTAAAAATATAAACTATTATGTTAGTGGCACCACTTTTTTACATCATAATTGCTTCTTCTTCAACACATTTCAAGAAGATTTTATTACAACAACCATTAAGAGCTTTATGATTTTTTTGTTGAAGTTTAAATAAATTGCTATTTCTACTTGATGTTGCACTTTCCTTACTAAAATTGATCTGAACTTTCTGTTGACCACCCCTAATGTGTATTCCACAACAAATTTGAGCGCTTTTGATGCAGAACTAAATATGCTTTTGATGAATGCGATAATAACTTGCACGATCTTGATAAGAACAAATAACAATTAAGACTATTAGCAATCAAAACGATAAAAGAAAACGTAAGAGGGGTAACTACGCTTAGATTAAATCACATGCTAAGCACTTGAATTATAAAAATAACTTAGAATCTCAACAACATGCAAATTAAGTAGTCATTCAACAAAAATCCCTAATCTAACATTGAGATAAGCAACATAGAAAGTAAACTCAAATCCTACGTTTACTAAGCGGAGGCAGAGGGCGAAGCACGAGAGCTTTGCGATTAAATCACCACCTACAAGGTTAGCGGATTAGAAAGATAATTGACAAGGGAAGAAGTTCACCCTTGCTATTGTCCTGAAACAATTTTCCACTGGACGTTGGCAAGTTGCTCGTCAATGGCCTTTGAGAGTGTGAAGATGATGCGGTCAATGTACTCTTCAATAGAGTTATCAATTTATGGGTTGAAATCGAAGAAGGTAGAGTGGAGGATGTTGACGTTCCCTTGCTCGTCGTTAGCATATCCGTAGTCAAGCTCCGGATCGGCTATTCATCGGTGTTGAAGGATTGATGTGCAGACGAGGATCGTAGTTGATTCCCTTGGTGATTTCTATAGGGAGAAAGAAGTTTCTCTCTAGATTTTAACTGGAGGGAGGGAAAGGAGGGCCGACCACTAAATGAGGGAGGGGGAATTAAATTTGGTTCAGATTTTGTGGAGGGAAAGTATTTCAAACAAGTCCTTAATTAATCCCTTTGATTGAGAGTAATTAAAGAAGAGAAAGAGAGGGAGGGGTGGCGGTAAGAGAGAGGAGGTCTAAGATTTATTTCCAAAATTAAATATGAGATTTTGGAAAGTAATAAGGAGATGGGGCTATTGGAAATTTCGGCCAACAAGGGATATGAAGGCTTGAATTATTTTCAAAAGTGAAGATGGGCTTTAGGAAATAAATCCAAGGAGGGATTAAATGAGGGGGCCGGTGGCATAGGGTTTAGGGAAGCTTTTAATGCTTCCTTAAGTTAGGGAATCAAATTTGGGAAGAGATATTTCATCCCAATTTAAATTAAAATCAAATAGGAAATGATTTGAAAACTTTCCTAAATTAAGAATTGTATTTTAGGTAACTTTTCAAATTAAACTAAATTTGAATTTGCAAAGTAATTGAATTACCTAAAATATTCCAACCTAATTAGGAAAGGGGTAATTGCAAGCAATGATGGAGAGAAAGCCAAGTGGAGGGCCGGCGGCTTGTGGTTTGACCGTGGGTGGTGTGGGGGAGAGGGAGGTAGGGTCGGATGGGGTGGAGATGGGAAACTTAGCCGACGGTGGGGTGGGGCTAAGATTGTCAGCGGCTTGGGTGGTGAGAGGGGTGGTGGGCCGGTGGTGTCGGGTGGGGGAAATAGGAGACGAAATAATAGAACAAACCACGAGCCCGGACTCTTCCAAGGCTGGTGGGTGATGTGATTCCCTCTCCAAGGGTTTTCTTTCCCAAGCACTATCAAGCTCTCACCAGGAACTCAAGCAATGGAAAATTTTTATCATTCATTCATTAAGCATGAAAAGAGAACATAAGGGCTATATATA